ATATGTCAAGAGTGTCTGGCCAAGAATTTTCATGAATACACTCCTTCCTTATTTGAATCCCTTAAAGTGTAGCTGCATCTAGATGAAGATTAAGTAATACCAATACCAAAGATCTGTTAAAACCAGCAGTGACAAGAACCATTTAAAGATTAAGAAGTATTTTTTAAAGTTCTGATGTCATGGCAACTGTTCTGTCAAGCTTCTTTTTTTTTTTTTTTTTTATCTTGGTGCCCCAACTATAGAAATTTAAGCATGCTACTAGATTGGCATCTAGGTCCCACCCTTTTGCTGTTGAAATAGTTAAATGTAACCACCACTTATACTCTAACAGTTTCTTTTCTCGCACTTTCTGCCTGTGGAACTCTCTTTAGTTTACTTGCTTTCCTGATAACTATAATCTTCAAAATTTTAAATGCAACATCAATTGCCATCTTCTGTTATCTTGAACACAGTTTATCCTTTCCTCATTCTCCCATTACACAGTTTTTCTCTCACCGTCACTCTACGTAACCCCTTGAAAGCCAATGGCAATCCTGGTTTGTTTGAGGTGAAATGCTTAAAAAAAAGAAAAAAAGCTATAACTGGCATTTGTTGTTTTTTTCTGCACTCTTATATTTTTCCTTTTTATATGCAAAACTGATTACAACCATAAAACTTATTAGTGATGAATTTTGTTCCTAGAAGTAACTTCTTAAAACTAAGTTTTCCTATATATTTTTCAGTTCATCGTATCATAAAGTATCCCTAAATGTTCATATGGGCAGATATTTTCATTATCGTCTCTATCACTTGAATAAAATTTTTGTACGTTAATAAAGTAAAATTGCTAAAAACATAAACAAAAAAAAGTACCTAAATGAAATCAGGTAGATGATATATCCAAAACATATTAAATTAAAAAAAAGAAACAAATCCTCAGTGTCCTTTGTGCGCATGTGTAATCACATCAGTCTAAACATAAATTTAGTCTGATGAAGTCCTAAAGGTTGAAATGCATCACACAAAAGATTTCCCACTTTGTCATATGTCTTTCCCTTAAAATTATTCTTAATATATAAAAAATATTATATATCGTTTTCCCACATTAATAAAAGAAAAATGACATTTAAATGGTGATCTTGTTTTGAAGTTTTTGATTGTACTAACCATGACTAAGTTTTTTGTAATTTGACGTCTACTTAAGCAGACATATTAAGTAAACTGGATTAGCTGTGTTATACAGATTAATTCACATTGTTATCATTCATAATCCAAACCTGGATTAGTATCTGATAGTTCCGTTTTCTTTCTTTCTTTCTTTCTTTCTTTCTTTCTTTCTTTCTTTCTTTCTTTTTTTTTATTATCCCCAAGAGATTTAGTTGAAATATAATTTCCTCTACTGTCAAATAGAATTCAGAATAAAATTCTGTATCCTACAGGGTGGTCCGAAAGTCTTGTCAACACCGAACTTTATTCCAAACTGTAGGAGCTCATGTTAGCCATCTGAGATAGAAAATTATATTATGTATGTATGGGTACGAGACTTTTGGACCACTATGTACATTAATTCTTTTAAAATAAAATTTAAATATAATAAATGTATTTATCAGTTTGATGATATTGGTCAAATATATATTTTCTATTTTAGCTCTCTTTATGACTGACTTTTTTCTTTTTGTAATTTATTGATAATAGTTGCTTAATCTGATTTGACTGTGATCACTTCTAAGCAAGAGATGAATTTTCATCTTCTCATGCATTTGATGTTGAAACAATTGCATCATCTAAAATGCTAACAATAAAACCTTCAGCAGATGATGACTGTGGGGGGGTCAGCTATTATGGCTTAGTTTTTGACTTATTGACTGTCTGTTGTTTTCCATTAAGGGAAAATATTTTAATATGAAACTGTCAACATTAAAAACAAATTATATTAAAATTATCAAGGATATTTTTAAAAAAATAGATCCCAGAAATAAAATAATAATTATTAAATTTTTTTTTTTCCTATTGTTTACCAATACAAGGCCCAAGAGCCACTAAAGGAAGAATTACTGAATGAGATTGTTGTAAGGGTATAGGGAAGGAGGAAGAGATAAATATTAGGAGGATGTGCAAGATAGATAACTCTTGATCCTCAACTTGAAGAGATTAATATTTTAAGGGTTGGGAAACTTTCTCTCGAGAGTCTTTTCCACAGAGTGACAGTTCCGGGGAAGAAGCTGTCTAAGTGGATCTTCTTCCTTACCAATGGAATACAAAAGTAATGAGGATGATTTAAAAGACATTTGGTGTGTTGGCAGTGTAACAGTTAGTGGTTTGATAAGAGATTAGCAAGTTGAGATCAAATTCCCGCTGATTTAATTGCATTCACTTTCACACCTGTTGGGAAGATATGAATCCATTTTTTTTATCTCTCACAGGAGAAAGGCAAATCTGAATTCAAAACCATATCTCGCTCTGGGGAAATGTATACTATACAACAATTTAAAAATTTATGGAGTCCACAATTAACTTAATATTTTAATTTATAAGTCATTTAATCTTAATTAGTCATTTTGTATGATAAATATGTCATAAGATATAGTACTTAATGCAACTATTCTTTATGTATTAGAACTTGTCACCAAATAATGTTTTTGAGAAAATTCTTTCAGTTGAATTGCCATAATTTTATCACAAATTATTCAGACTAAAATCTCCATCTCTGTTGTTTTTATCACAGCCAATGCCTTCTTTGACTTTGAAATGGAGTGATAAAAACATTTTCTTTTTTATCAGAGTGACAACTAGATAGTCTCTGTCTGCAAGAATATTTAATCATCATATCTAAAATTATCCAGAAAAGAAAAAAATTATATCTTAAAAAATACATCAGCTGAAAAAATGCTCTAAAAACAACAATGAAGATATTTGTGTAAATAATTTGTAGATTTATGCCATGGACTCAATCCAGAATTCTAGAGAGCTAACCATTTTCAATAATTCTGGTGTTAATTGAAAGGGATTTGTTTTTAAATTCTGAGATGTGATATTAATTACATTAATTTTGTCACCATTATTTTTTATATTGTTCTTCCCAATTTGAGTCTGAGTCACTCTTTAACTGTTAACTGTAAACCTATTCTCATTTTACACTTTAATTAAATGCACAATGGACAATAACAACAAAAGGGGACATTGAAATGATTTAATTTTGTAATCGGAGTTCTATCAAATTGTTTTTAATTAGACTGCAAATTATGCCTTTTTCATGTTACTATTAAAAAATTAGCATAGTAACCATAAAAATGATGTGGTTTAGTTTTTCTACCTAGGATCAGAGATTAGTATTTGTGCATCTTATGAAAAGTGTTACACACACACACACACACACACACACACCCTATATTTTACACTTGGCTGATTAGACACCTGGGTTTCAAGCACAAGATGGTCAATTTGTCATGGTGATTTTCTGATAATGTCTGCATGTAATAATGCCTGAAAACCATATCGTTGATTAGACCAAAGCCATGCAAGTAAAATTAGGGAGAAAAAAAAAGATTTATTTATATATATATATATATATATATATATATATATATATATATATATATATATATATGATATTGCTGCTATATATTGTCTGGTGCCCCTACTATTTATCTGGAGTTTCTTGATAAGATCCAAAGAAGAATCAGCAATATTATTGGTCCTGATCTGGTGGCTCAGCTTCAGTGACTTGCCTGCCAGCATAAGGTTGCCTCTCTGTGCCTTTTTTACAAATGCTTTCATGATAATTGTTTGGATGAGCTCTTTGCTATGGTGCCCAGGCTGTATGAATTAGAGTGCAATATGAGAATGGCAGCAAAATTGCATCAATTTACAGTTGAGCTAGCTAGATATGGCCATAACTTCTATGCTAACAGTTGCTTATCTCACACTTCTCACTTGTGGAACTCCCTCCTGGCTCCATGCTTTCCAGACAACTTTAATCTGCAAAAATTTAAATGCAATGTAAATCGCTATCTACTGCTCTCCTGATTGCTCTTTTCTCTTTCTCCTCATTACTAATGTTTCTGTTCCTAATTCCAGTGGCTGTACTAACTTGCTTAGGGTGACACCGATAATATATCTATCTATCTATCTATATATATATATATAGAACATTGAAGTCAACACTCAGAGGCAACAGGCTGTTTCATGCTAGATGCAATCGTCAGGCCACCTGACGATTGTGTCTAGCCTGTTGCCTCTGAGTGTTGACTTCAATGTTCACTTTAATATTTGCATACACTTTATCTCAGATATTGAGCACTTTGTCCCATAAATATAGCACACCTTAAAACTATATTTCTTCACACACACACACACACACACATATATATATATATATATATATATATATATATATATATATATATATATATATATAAAAGAAGAGAGCAATTAGGCATCTTGATGTGAAAGTTAGCATTATATTATTGTTGTATTACATTAACATTAGTATAGTACCTATTAAAAAGTGACATGATTCTTTGTATATGGATCAGCACTTTGCCTAGGATTAGATTATCTGTACCCTCTGTGTAGGATCAGTGCCCTAGAATTTTACTCTTATATATCTGTACTCACTGACCTTTGGCATCACTAGTCTGTGGCATTTCTCGCTGAAGATCCAAGTTACATCAAGTTTCATGACTATTCCAGTCATCTTGGTATTCTGGACAATTTTACTAAATGTTGTCAACTGATTGGTTTCAATTCTTTCTTCAGTTTACAATCTCCCAACTACTTAATTATATTAATATTATAATGTTACAATTTATACTTTTTGAATTTTTGATATTAGTGTCAGGTGGCATTCGATGGACTTTTCACTGAGAGCACAATTGCTACAATCACAACATCTTAATATCATCTTAGTATTTTAGTTGGTTTGATTAATGCTTTTTTTTTCTGGATGGTTTGTTCTTATTATATTATGTCTAGGGTTGTTATAAAATTTCTATTGAAAACCTTTTATTTTTGTATTTCAGAAAGGAAATACAGCACTTCACATTGCATCCCTTGCAGGACATGAGGAAATTGTCAAAATCCTTGTGCAGAATGGAGCCAAAGTCAATGTTCAATCCATGGTTTGTATAAAATCTGCTTTATTTATTGTTGCTTGTCTAACTGAATATTCATTCTATTTTCAACTGAAATTTTTAAGGAAATTTACTCATGAAACAATCTTTTGAAATGCAAATTTTAAAAGTTTCTGTTCATTTTTATGCTTTTACTAAGGCTCACAATTACAAATAATTTTCCTCCATCAAATTTTCTATTTTTTTTAAATCACAACAGTTTTTTGTTTTTTTTAAATCTCAAGTTTTTTTTTTAATCTTAACAGGTTTTGTTAAAAAATTTCAAGTTTTTTCTTAAAAAAAACTCAACAGGTTTTTTTTTTTTTTTTTTTTTTAATCTCAACAGTATTTTTATCAAGTTTTTCTAATTTGAACAGTTTTTTATCTCAAGTTTTTAAAAATTTTTTAATTTTTTCTCCTACTTTATTTTTCTTATCATTTTGTCTTTATTTTTATCATAGTTTTTAAACTTATCAATTTTTCTTTTTTGTGATTTCTTGCAATTTAGCTTAAATCAAAACGATTGACTGACAAAAAAAAAAAAAACTTACAAAGAAAGCAGATGAATGAAAAATTAAACCAGTCTAGATTTGTATTTATTTTATTGCCTTAACATACACCCAGGATGGGTTAAGCTGGCTAATGATTGTATAGTTATTACAAGTTCTCGTGGACAGTTTTATAATAGTAACACCAGTTCTCTAGTCACAGATTCTGATCAACCAAACTGTAAGAGAAGGTAATGCAGTGTTTGGCTTAACTCCAAAATGCTGTAGGGTCAATTACAAGGGTTGGTGTCACAAAGAGTTACTGGATTCTAAAATAGTTTAAGTTTTTACCAGAACTCTCTTTTGTTAAGACACTGCTGTTGTCTCTACAAGAGATTGTTATCCTTGACAGCATAGCCAAAACGCAAATTCGTTGTCATCAACTCACCATGTTCTGGTCAAAGTATGTGCCTTAATGTATGAAGTATAAATTTGGACACATTTAAAATTCACTTTTTATACCTTGAGAATTTAAGAATTGATCAGTGAAAATAAGATAATAAAAAGCATCAAAAGAACATGAAGGAAAATTCAATACAATATTTAAGATAAAAACAGTTGGAATATTCAGAGAAATTAGCAGGCCTGATTAGGAATGGTATATGAACTCCAAGCATTCAGTTTAATGTGCCATATAAAACTTAACGGAATTTTGAAGAATAGAACACACAACAGTGTTACGTTTTTTGTGTATATTTATGCATAACTAGTGAGCATGTCAAAATGACTTAACTCCCTTTATAGTCTACCAATAGAAGATTAACCAATCAGAAGCCACAGAACACTGTATCCGTTGTGTATAAAGGTGGCCATCTTTGTTTTCCCTACCGGAAGGACCAGAGCCAACTTGTAAGGCGAACATGACAGACAGAAGAACTACGCTCTGCTGCGATATCCACTGCAAACCTAAAGTACGCTTTCCTACTGTCTCCGAAATATTCACTGCCAACCTCTGGATTCTATACTCAAGGACGACCATCATGAAAATGTCTAACAAACAGAAATAGGGCAAGAAAAGTGCAGACACTGGCACAAGGTATGCGATATTTATGCTCAAAATGATGTCTGAAAGGGCAATAAAAATACCAAGAGCCGTATAACTGTTTTATAGATTATGAAAAAGCATTTGGTGAAGTATGTCACAAAGAACTGTTTGAATAAACAGGAAAATTTCCTTAGAAACAAAGTACTGGACTATTATGTAACATTGGCCCTCGTATATGGTGGTGAATGCCGGGCAATTTTTTCACAGATGAAGAAAAACCTTGAGGCAGCAGAAATGTTCTACAGAAGGATGCTGAGAATACCATAGACTGAACATGTGAGCAATGATGAAATTTTAGAGAAAATAGAAACAAAAAGGACACTTATATTTAGAATCAGAAAGAGCAAGTTGAAATTTCTAGAGCACATAATGAGGAAAGAGGGCTTAGAAAATTTGACACTGTCAAGACATATTGAAGGCAAGAGGGACAGAGGAAAGCGGGACAGAGGAAAGCAGGACAGAGTTTACCTAATGAACTTCTGTAAATGGCCGGCAGAATAGGAATTAGGAGATATATCAAAGGGCAAAAATTTATTAAGAGCTACAAAGGACAGGAAATGGTAGAGAGTCATAATCGCCCATGCCCTCAAGGGACAATGCACATTCAAGAAGACTTAAGTAGACGGATTCAATAGCAAAATAGGGAAACATTGTTTTTGGAAATAAATTTTGTAGATTCATTAGACCTTCAAGGTGCAAAATTTGTCTACATCTAAAAATATTGATTTTTTTTTTTTATCATTTTAGAAGTGGGGGGGGTCCTCTTCATAATATCTATACAATGTCAAATCAATCCCAGAGTTTTACAGAGTTATCTGAAATTTGTTTTTCATTAGAAAATTTGTTAGAAATAAAAAGAGTACTGATGTTATATAATACCAGACCTCCTATACGGCAGATTAAGAAGAGACTTGTAACAACAGAAATATGGTTCTACAGAAGGATGCTGAGAATACTATGTATCAAACATGTCAGCAATGATGAAATTTTAGAGAAAAATGGAAACAAAAGGATACTTCTACTTAACATCAGGAAGAGAGAGTTGAAATATCTAGGGCACATAATGAGGAAAGAGGGTTTGAAAAATTTGATACTCACAGGACAGACTGAAGGCAAGAGGGACAGAGGAAGGCAGAACATAGCTTTCCTAATGAGCTTCTGTATATGGTCGGCAGAATAGGAATTAGGAGATATATCAAAGGGCAAAAACTTAAGAGTTACAAAGAACAGGAAGTTGTGGAACACTATGATCACCCACATCTTGAAGGGACATGGCACATAAAAGACCTTACTGACCTTGAATACTAAAATGATGTCACAGATCCTGAACAGGGACAAGGATCACCTAACTTGTATTGAATGCAGACAGTTGGATCAAAGAAACTGTAAGCTGCTACTAACGTTTCTCCCAAATTCACAAAGATGCTATTCCATTAAGGCTTGTAATCAGTTAAGCAAATTACTGGTAGATATAGTCAACCTACTAACAAGTACAACATTCAAAACATTGAAAATAACAACCAAGACAAGGATAACGGTTTGAATAAAAAATACATTCTTCTAATTTCTCATCTCGGAACTCCAGGTAAAAGAAAGACTAGTTGAAATGTGTATCAAAAATTAACATAAATTTGCATTTTATTTAAAAGATTATTTTTGTTAGAAAACTTACTTTCCAAATAATTTGAAATATTAAGTTTTAATCAAAATTTTGTAAATGTAAAATGACTTCAACTGAAAAATAATTTAGTTTTTGTTACTGTTACTCATTTCATTAAATTTTTTTTAATTTTAATTTTTTGATAGTTTAAATTTAGAAAAAAAAAAAAAACCTAGAAAGTTTTATTTATTGTTTTTTGCAAGTTAAGATGCTAAAAAATTACTTCGACTATTAATGTGGACATCTTCATATTTTAAACATAAAACCAATTGTCATTTCAGACTGGGTTTACTCCATTGTACATGGCAGCCCAAGAGGGCCATTCTGAAGTGGTAAAGTTTCTTCTGGATAATGGGGCTAGCCAGAGTCTTGCCACTGTGGTAAGAATTTTATCTTGTTTTGTATCTATATATAATATTAAAAGTGTTATATTTTGTCTGTATGTTACTTCTAAGTAGTTGAGATGGTTCATAATAGCCAGAGGTATTAAATTAAGTTACTCCTAAAATGTGCTAACTTAAACATGGTGTCTTTTTTTACATAAACTTTCTTTTTTTTTTCTTTTAAATATATATAAACTATAATTTTTGAAGGTGAAAATTTCACTGAAATATATTGTAAAATTTCTGGGCATTAAAAATGATTCATAAGATTCAGAAAAAAATTGATAAATACATGTTTATTTTTTAATGCTAAAATAAATGTTGAACGTTATTGAATTTTAAGTTATGAATTGCTGACATATGGTTCAAACTAAAGTTACAAACTAAGGGAAGTAAATTCAAAAATTGTTATCTTTGTAGGATGGTTTCACTCCCCTTGCTGTAGCATTGCAGCAAGGACATGACAAAGTTGTGGCGGTTTTGCTGGAGCATGACACCAAAGGCAAAGTACGTCTCCCTGCTTTACATATAGCTGCCAAAAAAGATGACATTGGTTCTGCAAACCTCTTACTTCAAAATGATCACAACGCTGATAGTACCACCAAGGTAAGTTCTATTGATAATATTCATCATTTCTTCTCACTCTAACCAATATTCTACAAATGATAATAACTTTCTGCCATTATTCCTATTACTATCAGACTAATATCCTCATCTTTGTTACTATCACAATGCTTTGGCTGTTTTGCCTTCTGGCTTTCTTTAAATGTCTGCTGAACTGGGTAACCTTTAGGGGATTTTGAAGTAAACACTTTATTCAATCTACATGGATAGAGTATTCTCATTCTGCTGTCTATGTCTTGGCATATTTCATCTACCTCTTTTTACTACTGCTCAGTTATTACTACTTCTGTTTCTACTGAGTCAGTTTGTACTATCCAGCCCAGGGATTGAACTCATAATTACTATATCACCAAATTTATGAACCAATGCTTTTAATCCACTAGGCTAGTTAACAACAAAGATGAAGATATTAGTCTGATTGTAAATTTTAAATAATTTAAAAAAAAAAAAGAATTTTAATTTTTATTAATTAAAATATGAATTTTGGGTTGACTCTAGACTTAAAAATACACAAGGAATATTCTGTAACAAATAAATTTTAGTTTGGGTATAAATAATATGTAGCAAAGGATTATCTTTAACGTCACAGAGAACTTATCTTTCATATCCAATATTGTACTGATTACTTACTGTTGTAGTTTGGTAACTTGAGTAAAACTGCAATAAAAACTATTAAAAATAAAAACACAAAAATAAATACCAGTTAAGAATTAATACTAATAGTTAAATAGTATGTTGTCATGAGTCCACAAACCATTAGTGTTGTAGGGACACCATATATTTACTTCAGAAAAAGCAGTAGTGGTGTGTCTCTTGCTTTGTGGCAATCAATTTTAGTTTTTTTTTAAAAAAGTGTGCAAAATCATTTTTTGTTTTAAAATAAAAAAATATTTAAAATTGCCAACTCTTGCTAAAATATTTTGGTTCTGTCCCATAAAATGTTTTTAACAATTCATATGCTCCTGACATTAAATGAACTGAATACAATTCCTCATTTAAGGTTTGGATTAATTATTTTTCCTTACCTTAATAGAATTAATCATAAATCATTGCAAAATTTAAACTTCAGTATCCTTGGTTCTAAAGATAAAGCCTCTATAATCCTTACTGAATGAAATTTGAATTGATTACTGGTGATTAATTTACCTGTATCAGATTATAGACCATAATCCAGATGAACTGTACAGCATTTGAGAGTCCTTGATTTGGTCTCTAAATCCTTAATTCAAATACTGAGTGAATACAGATACCTTAGCAGAAAATATTTTTGAAATGTTTAAATCTCAAAATCTGGAAAATATATGCTTTGCTTAATTGTTTTTTTTCCTTTTCATTTATATTGTATCTTTGCAGTAAAAGTTAGCTTGTAATTGAGGAACCTGTGATTAAAATTAGTGTAAAAATAAGAAAAAGTGAAAGCATCATTTAAGTTATAATGCTTATAGAATTATCAAAGTATTTATTATATATATTGTATTTATTATATTATTATATACAGATTAAAATTCAAAGAACTTTAAATTAACTAAAAAATCTACTAACATCATTATTTTAATTCTAAAAAAATAATCTACCATATTTCCTAATATGTGCCCCAGTTTTAACTTAGAAAATTCCTAAAAATTAATAAGCACCAAATTAAGTAAAATGAAAAAGTTAACTTTGGTTTGTAGGATGAATAAATGTTTTAGGTAAATGTTTTACTTATTTTGAATGGAAAAAATAAGCAGCTTTGATATTAGGAAATAGAGTAATTTTTTATTTGAAATATTTAAAAAAAAAAAAATATATATATATATATATATATATATTTATTTTAATTTGTAATTTATTTCATAATTATTTTTTCTGTATCTACTTCATTTGAATTATTTGTATAGATACAGGGTGCAACAGAATTATGCCCCAGAAATAATTCCATCATAATGGTAAGACATTTGTTAGATGGAAACAACATTGCTGCTAATGTCGTACCATTATGTGTGAAGTATTTTTTCCACACCCCATATAATAAAAAGTATTGATATTTTTAATGAGGCGTAGTTTACCGATATACCTGTTTTTTGGGTTTTTTTTTTATCCCAACAAAATTACAAATAAAAGTAAACTAAAATGAAATGAAAATGAGTCTCTTTATTTCATTTGATTTATTTCTCAAGTCATTAATACCATTTAGAAAAGTTTTGTTGAAAGATAAATGCCTGACTAAACAAAGGAATTTTGTTTTTAATTTATCATAAAGGTAGAAAGAACAGTTAGTCACTTGGCTTTTTTTTTATAGAAGCTATACAATTAAAAAACATGAAGATTTCTACAAATGGCAAAAAAACTCATTAAGTCATTTTTTAAAACTCTTTTGTGGTATAAAAGGTTATTTTCTTGAACAAACAAAAGTTCAATCAACTCTATTTTAAGTAAAGAACCAAGTCAACCCTAAAATGACCCTTCGTCAATTTTTGAGGTTAGCTGCAAAATTTGAACAGCATCTAGAGAGTGTCAAGTTTAAAAACTGCAATAAGAGTCAAAACATTTCTCCTTTACATCCTTTAATATTTTGTCTATGAACTTAAGAACATTAATAAGAATGTAACTTGCAATTTCAATTCTCACCATACTTCAAATATTTGCAGATTTTGGGGCTTGAGTACTGTTCACCAGCCACACTTAGGAAAAGCAATAGCAACTTACTGGCCATTTACTAAATGACTTTTTTTTTCTTTATAAACATAAAAATGAAACATTTGAATTAAATTTTTTAAAGAACAACAACAAAATTAATATCATTCACAAATAAACTATAACTTCTCTTCCTCATTATCTTATTCTATAATTTTCACAAAAATTTCCCTAGCAAAATTGTACCAGTCAACTGTTTTGAGATTACATTTTCAAAGTAACCTCTGCACAAATTATTAGGGTATTTTGTTTACTCAGTAATAGTATGTTTTAGCATCAAGTATAAACTAGTAAACCAACTGTTGTGACTAACAGATTTCTATAATTTCTGCTACTACACCTATAAAATAATTTGTCATACCAATTATCAGTATTTCTTTTTAACAAAACAATAAATTGAATTTTCTAAATAACTATGACAAAATATCCTGCATGAATTTATTTTTGTTTTAAGAAATATTAGTAAGTGGTAGATAATCATTACTGCTTTTCCTTAGTGTGCTTGGTAAATGGTCAAGCCCATTTTCTGATATAAAAATAATCTAAATAAAAAGTACACAAAAAATAGTTTGCATAATTTAAAAACATTTTTTTTTTTTTTTTTTTTTATAGAATGGCACTAGTGAGTCATGCTAGCCTACTATCAGAAGATGTCTGATTTGTATTTAAAAAAAAAAGAATTGTTGAAATTGATAATAAACAAAAACTTGAATTTTATAAGAATCCAGAAACTGGTTTGTGTGAAACCGGATCCTCCAACTGCTTATAAGTAAAATTCCCAACACTAATTTTCATTTATAATTTTATAAGAATGAATTGTTAGATATTACCATAATTTTCACTTACAGTACATTAAAAAAAATGAAATATATACATAAATACATAATGAAATCAAAAGGCATGCAAATTACTAACAATTGTTCAGCTTCCTCTTTCTGATTTACTAATGAATACTTATCCTTGCCTTTCCAGATAAATTTTTAAAGCAGCATGCATTTTAATTTTTTTTTTCAATAGGAAATAAAAAAATTAAATATAAATTCTTTCCAAATTAGTGCAATGAATATGCACAAGATTATCATAAAATACCTCATATTGTCTGTCTGCTTCATTTCCTTTGTTCCCCTTCAGCTGTCTGGCTAGATATTTACAACTATATCAATATGTGAAAAATAATATCAGATTTCATTAACTTTCTTTTAAATTTTAATTAAAAAAAAATTTCTGTTTTTATTTGTTCAGTTTTACTTTAAACAAGTAAAATATTTTTAAAAAAAATGTTATATTCAGTTTGTTCTGTTCTTTTCTCTATTAAAAAAATGATTTCTTTGCTTTAATCGATTACAATATTATTTAGCCACTTCGCTGATTTTCATATTTACCTCCCTTTAAATTATTACCTGCCATTTTGTCTGATAAAAAAAACCCTGTTTGAATTTTTGTGTTTGAAATATGTAGCTTTGTACACATTATTATATTCTACTGCTTTTTCAAGTAGTATTTTACCATATTTTCTGCTTCATTGTAATATTTGTGATTATATTCACCCTGTTTTTAGTATAAAAAGCGGAATATTGCTTAAAGTTCATGGTAAAAAGATACAAATTTAAACTGTTTTGATTGTAATACTTTTAAAAAAAATTATAGACTGTTTAATATAAAAATAAAAAAACTGATATTACATTTAAAAAAAAAAAAAAAAAATACTGGATTCTATTTGTCAATTTGTAACTTCTTAACATGAACTTTAGCTCCAAAATGGTGGTATTAGAACCTGAAGTGTGATTAAGGTGATTCATGGTTGGTTGTTGTGGACAAGGTGATGATGCTTTATTTTATTTTCTCCTGCATGCTTTGCAGAGTGGAGGGTTGGTTAATGACACCACTAAGGTTGGTATTTGAGCCCAGAGTGTTGATTCCTTTTTTCCTTCTCCATACCTTGGAATGTTGTCCCCTTTGTTCACTATTTATATCACATCCATTTTCTCATTTTGCGCATGTTACCTTTTTTTTTTTGCTCCTGTTGCTTAAATCTTGTAGTTGAACAGTTTTAAGTTTTTGCATTTGAAACTCAGGAAATTGACAATTATTTTTCCAATAGAACTGGTGATCATTATAATAATTTCTTAGATATAACATTGTCAGTTATTCATTTTTATGACTATTTCTTTAATTTTATTTCTGTTTTTGTTTTGTTTTTTTTTTTTTAACATTTCTCAGACTGTAATTCTATATAATTATTAAGGTGCATGGATTGAAAATAACAAATAAACTTCTGATGAGATTCAAACTTGCATCCTCCCTTT